GCGCCCTCACCGTTCTCGCCCTCGTCTCCGTCACCGCAGTCATCTTTCTCATCTCTTCGAGGAGACTCGGCGGCGACTGGGCGATAGAAGGTCCCAACTACCACCCCACCCCTTCAAAGGCCACAACCCACCTCCGCCTGCTGGCAGCTCCCCAAGCGCAGGTCACGATGGCCGTCCTCCGCCTCCTCCGCCACCCCCGAGCTACCAAGACGACCGCCTGGCACAGCACAATGTGTCGAACCAAGACATTCCCTACCGTCCTCACGACCCCGTTTGCGATACCTTCCCCGACACGAGCAATATACTCGTCATCATGAAGACGGGCGCCACCGAGTCCTTCGACAAGGTTCCCACTCAACTCATGACCATGCTCAAGTGCTTGCCCGAATACTTCATCTTCTCCGACCTCGACCAGACCGTTGCAAACTACCACATTCGGGACAGTCTTGACAAGGTTCTTCCCGAGGCCATGGAAGGTAATCAGGACTTTGATCTCTACCGCCGCCAAAAGGCCTGTCAGGCCGACCAGCAGAGCTGCAACAAGCTGGCTGTAAGCAAGGACGAGGGTTGGAATCTCGACAAGTACAAAAATGTCCACATCGCCGAGAAGACGTACCGTATGCGCCCCAATTACGATTGGTATATCTACATCGACGCCGATACCTACGTGCTCTGGCCCACGCTTGTCCAGTGGCTCAAGAACCTCAACCCCAAGAATAAGCACTATCTCGGTAGTGTCACCATGATTCGCAACTTCGTTTTTGGCCATGGCGGCAGTGGCTACATCGTCTCTCAGGCGGCTATGCATGACATGATTGCGGACCATGAAGATGTTGGCAACAAGTGGGATGTTCGTGCGAGCAAAGAATGCTGCGGAGACTACATCTTTGCGCTAGCTATGAAGGATAATGCCGACGTCAACGTCCATAATGTTGTGAGTATTCATCATGATCTCTCTGTTTTGTACGCAGCTTGGACTGACCGTGTCCCAGTGGCCTACAATCAACGGCGAAAAGCCCTTTACTCTGCCATATGGTCCTACTCACTGGTGCCACCCCATCGTGACAATGCATCACATGAATGCCGAGGAGATCTCCACTTTCTGGGAATACGAGCACAAGCGCTACTCCGACCCTAGCCTTCCCCAGCCGCCTCCAGTCATGCGCATCAAGGATATCTATCATGAATTCTTCGCGCCTCGTATGCAGCCTGAGCGCGCCGATTGGGACAATCTGGCCGATGACCGATTTTTCCTCGACGAATCCGCCAACAAGCACCAGGATTGGCAACTCAATCGAGCCAAGAAAGAAGACTTGACAGAGGAAGAAAAGGTTGCACACTTGTCCTTCGGCAATTGCCGCAAGGCCTGCGAGGCCGACAGGTCCTGCTTCTCATTCCAGTACAAGGACGGCGTCTGCGGCTTCAGTTGGGCATGGAAGCTTGGTCACCCGGTCAAGCGCGAGTCTACGGACGAGAAGCGCACCATGTCCGGCTGGGCTGTAGAGAAGATCAACGCCTGGATTGAGCAGCAGGGCGAGTGCGGTCCAGTCAAGTGGCCCGATGTCTGAGGTGAAAATGCATCATTCATCACCGACTTAAGTGTCGACACGAAACATTCACGTCGCCACGAGAGAGCAGCACCAAAGGCCTGCCTATATGCAAGCACGGCTGCTATTCAAGGCTTTGAGACGTGACGTATGTTTCACGTGGGGCCTTATTCCATGTCTCAGTACGCCAAGGGCTTGGATACGGGATTCATGGACATGGTAGGGAACATACCCCCCTCCTCTGGAATTCCCTTGACTCGGGATTTTCTTGCCAGGGAGGAAACAAAACATTTCTCATGGAAGCCAAATCAGCCAGGCGTCTATCGGTCTGGCATCTGTATAGAGCCGCAGGCATGTGTGTATTTTTTTTCTTCTTGTAGTGTGTGTATATCACCATCATGACGTGGCAGGCGAGGCAAGACTTGGGTTTCGAGACGACTTTGGCGTTTATTTGGAAAAGACGTCTAGTTCTTCATTGGCCCTGGTTTGGGAGGCCGACGGAGTCAAACGGTCAGAGCGAGCGCTCGCAATAGAAAGCCTTTCATTGTTCATATTACAGTACATATCCAGATTCCGATTCAGACATTGTCATTCAGCACCCCTCTGTGCCTAGTTAGCTCTGTCCCAACCTCTCCGAGATGAGATCATCTCGAAAACTGAAGGAATGGTAGCGAAGAAACGGGGCCCGGAAGCCGACGAGGTGTGAGGCCTGTTGCTTCCAAGTAACCCAAACTCAGATCTCGGCTCCCGCATTCCACTAATGCGCCACAGCTATTTAAAGACGGGTAGGTAGGGCAGAGAATCGGCAGCGGGTGGCTGGAGATGGCCAGACATCGCATGCCTTGACGAGCTTCCCAGGGGCCACACCGATAAATCGCGGTTCATCCCGGCATTTTGCATGAGGTACCGGTATTGTCACTGGTTCAGTGTGTACATTCCAAAACTAGCATCACAGCACAAGATCGGGCTGGGTATTGCCGCTTGACCCAGGTCGGGTGGAAGACGGCAGTTCGGCATATCATACACAAGACATATCGAGACGACTGTAGTTGATCATAACGTCGTAAATTATCCATCCATGCTCCGCAGGCTACCCTCGTCTGCACTGCGACTTGCTCATTTGCTCATCAACTCTGCTCCGCTCCTGATGACGCCCACCACAGCTCCCGTCTGTACTGTCTCGCTGCCGCCGCCGGCCACACGGTGTTCGATATCCGCCAGCCCATCGAGCCACTTGATCATGATTTCCGGCTTGACCTCGAGTGTTGTCAGTTGCTCCGCTAGAGCCGTGATGATATCTGCCAAGGCGAGACCCCGAGACACCTTTAGGGTGTTGATAGTAGTCAGGCAAGACGTCACGTCTGTTGTGCTCAATAAAACATCCAAGATCTCCTGCACAGCGTCGGGCTGAGGGGCGGCGATGCAGTTATATATCGTATCTGTAGAGATGGTTTCCCTCACAATGTCGGCTTCGGCCACCTTGGGTGCGTCCTTGGGTTGCAACGGGGTACCTGTGTTGTTAGCATGCTCTCCAGGGCCATTGTCCAGAACCAGATGAGTACTCACTTGACGCGTGACAAGCCTGGAGCACATTGAGTGCTCTTCTCATGTCGCCCTTGCTAAGCTTCACCAATGCTTCCGTGGCATCGGGAATGATTTTGACGTGCTCCTCCTCAATCACCTTATCCACCAAGACCCTGATATCGCGCTCCTTCAACGGACTGAATCGGAACCTCGTGCATCTTGATAGCAGTGCCGGTGAAAGCTTGTGTGAGTAGTTTGCAATGATGCAGAACCGCGTGTTGACAGTGTACTTCTCCATGATGCGACGCAACGCCATCTGCGCCGTGTTCGTCATAGCATCGGCCTCGTCGAGGATGATGAGCTTGTACGATGCCATGCTGCCACCGCTGCCTGATTTAGCTGAGGGACCGAGAGTGAATATTTGTTTTGTCGAGGCAAAGGTCTTGATCTGCTCGCGAACGACGTCGATGCCTCGATCATCTGAGGCGTTGAGCTCGAGAACCATCTGCCGCATGTTCTCGGTGCCATAGATGCGGCGCGCGAGGGCGAGGATCGTCGAGGTCTTGCCAGTTCCCGGGGGCCCGTAGAGGAGGAGGTGAGGAAGACGATTCGAGTCGACAAACTTGTTGATGGTGGCGAGAATATCCTGGTGTCCGGACACATCGTTAAGGCTTACTGGGCGGTACTTTTCAACCCACGGCAGACTGTCTTCGGCTTCGACGGGGAGGTTGGCGGCGCTGCGCTTGCCCTGCTTGGCGTCTGAGGAGAAGGTGATGTCCTTGGACACGGGGACGTCGACGTCCATCTCGTCTTCGAAATCGGACATATTGACTGTGCTGCGGGGAAGGTCGGTTGGATGATTTGCGGAGGGGACGATGAGGTGGTGAACTATGAGCTCCAACGTACGGATTGGGCACTCCCGTACAAGTGGAAATTAGAAATCTTGACGTGATGCATCCGCTTGGAAGACGCGTCGCAGACGCGTCGAAGAATGGCTCTTCACGTGACCACTTACGCTTTGCCGAAGGGAGCCCCACGGTTGATGGAGGGAGAAGGCGGTCAATGTGATCGGCCCCACTATCCCTCCGGCCAGCAATCTTCCATTACATAAACGAAACTACCCCTCCGTCAAAGTTGGAGTTTTGGACTCACATCCCAAATCACACAATAGCCACAGTTCCTTCCATGGCCCAATATTGTCACTTAGGTCCCTTCCTACCTTAGGATCTGGCCAAGTCGTGTTTCGGGCCTCGCCCTCTGTCAGCCTGCGAGCCTGCTGAGTTCTGCCTCAAAGCATCTTAGGAAGTGCTGTGATATCGTGCAAACCCGTAGACATGTCACAAACATGTCAAGTCTGTATGACTACTGTCAGACTTTAGCCTCGCTCTTGCCATTGGACAAGGACAAGAATTGCCGTTTGTCTCCCGACTCTCACGTTCTATCTCAGACAAACGCCCTTGATTATGTTTGGGCTGTCTAAGTAACCTTTCTTGCTTATGGATACGTTTCGGGGAGATGTCTCCGCTCTCCGCGCACACAAGCTGGTCTTGAGGTGATGCATTACCTTACAGAAAACCCGTCCGCAGTCGAGTCAAGGATTCCCGGTGGAACGCCATCTGGGGATTTTGAAGTTGGGGTGCGTTTGGAACCCCGCTGTTCACATCGTATTAGTCGGCTTCGGCTTCAGAGTCGTGCCATGTCTTGGCCATAGCTGCCAGCCTTGAAATACTGGGCTAATTCCTGGATCTCTTTCACTTTCGAGGTCACCTTCGTCTCATTTCTCCCACCCGAACCGTCTCACCCGCCGTTGAGCCTCGCCAGCACCCTCATATCCACGGTTCCTCATCACCTACCTTGGCATCTGATCTGCCGTCCCGCTTTGACGCTCATTCCCTTCGTCTCCCACGTCACCGCCGATCTTCTAATCCAATGGCGGCAGCACCCGTCGTTGTTGAGCCGGCCAGGCTCGAAGACGCCCCCGCCATCGCCGAAATTTTCTTCAAGTCCTTCAAGAGTGACTTCTTTCAGACCTTATTTCCCCAAAACGAATACGGCCGGGCCTACATGACCGACGCCTACAAGCAGTTCATGCTCTCCAAGGAGCACGGCTCCCAAGAAGGTCAAGTTGCCGTTGTCAGGAACGAGAAAGGTAGCGAAAACTCCTCGACATGATCACCTCCGCCGGTTGTCCGAACCCCGACTTTGCCTTACCCTTACCGGACTTCGGACTCCGCTGAGTAAACGGCGCCATGTGTATGCGTACCTTGTTTGACTGACAGCTGTCTCGTTCAAGGCGAGCCTGCAGCCACCACCCTTATCTGGATCATCCGCCCCGAGGACAACGGAACCTGGTCGTGGCGAAAGCGATGGCCGTCCGCTAATGCAGGGCAAAAAGACGAGCTGCTTGATGAGTTCTTCTCCGACATGGCGTCTCAGCACGACCGTGTCATGGGCAAGGACCCTCACGTTTGTATGTCAACTCTTGACTCCCTGGCCGGCCGGTTCGCTCACCACGAACAAGCCTCCCGCTGACAATCTTGCCGGCCGCCCACCCGCAAAACGCTGACCATGTGCCAGACTTTGAGCTGATTTTCACCGACCCGGCCTACCTTCGACGGGGCTATGCGAAAGCCCTTCTCCAACAAGGAACGGAAATTGCCGACAAGCTGGGCTACCCAATGTATCTCGATGCCGAGCAGTACATCGTGGACCTTTACTCATCAGCAGGCTTCTTGACCAAGACTGAAGTCGGACAATCGTCACAGATGATTCCCATGATGAGGCCAGCCAGGGGCTGAATGAAATGAAATGAAATGGCGCTACTGCCGACTATTGACTCATCCTTCTTTATCATGTGTCATCACTTCCAGCGTGACAGTCCGCCATCAGTGGAAAGTAGTCATGATATGTGAATAACATACATCAGACGGATGCCCAAGCGGCTTCCGTAAGCAACTCGCTCGCTTCGCTTCAATGCTTTGCTTCCTTCATTCCTTATCGTCTCAAGTCTACGCTTTTCATGCCTTCCTTCTCGTTTCCGTAAGGCGGTGATGCACCCCAGTATTGCTGCCGATACTGCGCGTCGGCCCCGGCGTCGTATGCTTGCCCGTTGTCGAACTGAGAATACATGGATGGCCTCGTGGGACGTCTCGGCGGCATCTCTGGTTCACCTATCTGGGCATACATGTCCGGAATGTCAGGGTACGCTGACGGCGTCCTCGGCGGCCGTGGTGGTCGGTTGATGGCATCGATGAGCGTTTGCCTCCTCGTAATTCTCTTTGGCCTCTCCGGCAATGCTGCATCTTCGGCGTTGGTACCAGACGACGTTTCGTCTGACTCTTCCCCAGTATCCTTCTTTTCTTTATCCTTTCCGGCGTCCTTGGTGGCGAAGAAAATGGTGAATACCATCTCCATGTCTTCCGGTCCCTTTCTCTCGCGCATAATCTGATGAGGCACCTCCAAATCGTCAATGAGCCGTTCAATCTCTTCGACAGAGTAGCTGCCCTTGTCCCTGTCGCCAGAGTAGTCCCCGGGCCCACGTGCTCCGTTGGGAATGTGGAACCGAAGGTCAACTCTCATGATGGCGTAGAGTGCGACAACTATGAGCTCAAAGAAGAACCCCGTCGTGTAGAATACTGCTTTGCCGTAAATCACGCTCGGCGTGGCTCCTGGTAATTCCTTATTGAAGACGGCGAACAGACGAATGGACTGTCCGGTAATCAAAAGGAAAGAGCCCAGGTAAAGCAGGGCCACCTTGACTCTTTGTGAGCCAGAACCGAACTTCTCTGGCTTGGGCCCTGGCACAGAGAGGCATCCGCTTACTACAAGGACAGGGAATATGGAGAGGAACGTGTTCCATGAACTTCCGAATTTGAGCAAATCGTCTGTAGTTTCTAGGCGATCTACATTGCCAACACTGAAAAACGCAATGATTGTCGACGTCATGTTCAGAATGATAAAAGCCGGAACCGAGAAGAGCAGAATCAAACTGAACTGACTGAACGCGGTACACCATCCGGCTTTTGGGTGGATCGAGCGGACCAGGCGTTGGGCGAAGAATATGTTAACGGCAAACATAAGGGCAGCACTGAGCATCATGTTAGCAAAACGTTCATTCCTTTTGAAGCTCGGCCCTCTTAGCTCACCCTCCGTTCTCGGTGATCAACGCGAGCAACACAACCCCTCGGGTCGACACAATCGACCATGTGATACGAAAGATGCAAGTGACTGTTCGGATCATACAGAAGTCGAAGACGATATCTGAAATCAGGAACTTGTGACCACGTTTGGCATTCCTTCGGTAAATACTCAAGTGCACGTACGCACCGAGCATGAACAACACCATGAACATTATGGTGACCGGCAAGTCGATGTTCTTGTTGGGTATACCACCCGGGAACGCTCCGTTGGCCGGATCAGGAGGTCCCATAGGAGGCCCGCCGGGAGGACCAGTCTGAGCCTGCGGGTTCGGGCTCAGATTGGGCATTCCACCCCTCTCTGGCCCCTGAGCACTCATGATCGGGTTGAGAACTGGCGGTGGTGGTGGTAGATTCGGAGTGCTGAGGAGTGTCGTTGCTAGAGGTGCTGCTGCTAGAGGCGGCGGCGGCGGCGGCGGAGAAGGTGAAGTAGCAGCCAACTGTGGCGTCGTCTTTGGAGTCGGTGTTGAAGGCAGTATCAACGGTGCTGGTACAACTAATGGGGCGGGAATCACAAGTGGCACTGCATTAGGTGCTTGACTCTTGGCCGCAGGAGGAGGTAGAGATGGGAGTCTCGGTGGTTCTGCTTGCTGTGGTGGCGAAGGAGGTTGGACCTGGTTGGGCGATGAAGGGGGTTGAACTTGCTTGGGTGGTGAAGGAGGTTGCGCTTGCTTTGGTATCGGTGAAGGGTGAATCTGCTTCGGCGGAGATAGCGGCTGTATCTGCTTTGGAGGAGGTGGTGATGGAGGAGGAGGAGGAGGAGGAGGAGGAGACGGTCGTATCGTTTGCGTAACAGTGATATATGACGGGGCAGCAGTCCTGACTTGAGTGTATACGATATAATTCGTCTCAACAATGACTTGTGGAGGTTGAAGCTGGCCGGCAACCGACGGTATACCCGCGTTCGCTATGGAGGGGATTTGAGAAGCCAAAGTTGCTAGTGCTACGGCCGGCGCGGCAGGTCTCTGTGTATTTGAAAGGGGCGTTGATGACAACAGATTTGCTGCTGGCTTTGGTACGGATGCCGCCACTTGTGCTAATTGGAGTGCTGGTGATGTAGAAGCCTGTGCCGCCTTGACAACTCCCTCTGCAGCAACGAATTTGAGAGATATGAGAGGAGCGGCGGCATACAGGAATCCAGCAAGACCGGCCATGACTGCTTTTAGAAGTGAGGCACGCTGCCTTTTTTCGTCTTCGAGACCCTGCGGCCTGCCGGATCAGGGGTACGGACAGGATGTCGGCTTGTGGGTACAACCAGCTTTGAGAGATGTTGCAAGCAGAAGACAGACTAGACAGGAACAGCCCAATGCGGATAGAGAGTCTCAGGTGAATCCCTATGTGTAAGAAGCCGTATCCGGACTTGAGTCAATGGTTGAGGATGACAGGCTCCAAGGTTGCATTGCGGCTCATGTAGTGGCGAGCTGCATGTATGGAATAGGCAAGCGGGCCTCCTAGTAGTAGTAAACTGACCAAGGCAGTGGAGAGTCTGCGTTATGACCGGCTGACGACGTGTTGCGGAATTCCGGACTTGAAGAGTGCCGCGATGGGCATGCCCAGATAGGGCATTAGGGCAGTAAGGCTGATGACGGCCAAAGGCGAAGCGTACGCAGATCGGGGTCGTTAATAGAAGAAAGTCCGGTCTTTCGATTCTCTGAGACGTTCTGGTTATGAAGGAAATCTTTATTGGATGGGTGTATTCCTTATAATTTGGCCACGGGGTATTCGACTCTTCAGGAGCAAAAAACAAATTGCCAGCGTATCTCGGTTAAGTGTAGTGTCTCTTCGTTCAACGATTTGGCACTTTTTATCGTTCTCTTTTTCGAAAAAGGGGAAGAAAGTGATAGAAAGGATATTTGGTGCTAATGAGACCCTTAATAGAATGAATGTTGCCGCATCTCATCCCAACCATACTGTCTTCACGCTCCATCCTTCTCACCTCTTTCTCCTCCTCTTCCCTTGTACAGACTCCTCTCCCGAGCACTCACAAGTAGCTCGCTGCGACGTTGAACCAGTATTCAGCAGCGGGCCGGTATTGGAATATGGGTGAGGTGTGTTTGTAGACTTTCCATCCACTTGCCTCAGAGGGCAAGTGGAATGAGGCAATTCGTTTCAGACGCCGTTGGGGAACAGCGAACTATTTCCCTTTTGGGACGAGAAGGCGGTGCTCTCACCGCAAAAAGTTGCCCCGACTAAGCAACTCAGCAGAGAAGATGACCTTTTCATCCCGTCTTTTATGAATGTCTTGCCTGTCGCTGCCTGTCTCTTGTACGGGTCCAGCCCACCTGGGCTGTCTGTTCGCACCCCAAGTAATATAAGTAACTGTGACCCATCCTGACGGGTCTGTCAGCCCAATAAGGCAACCGGCTGTCAAGAATGTCTTTGCTGTTAATCATTCCGTCATCTTCCTACTCTTCGCCGTTGGAGGATGCGAGCAATGCGAGTCCGACCTGATGCTACGGCTGATTTCCCTTCCCGAGCTTTCGGACTGACTGCAAGGGGTGAATTATTGCCCGGAACTCCTCTATGCACGCTTTTGCAGTAAGTTCGATACTATCAATCCATGACTTCCGGGCACATTTTTCATGTCTCTTGAACGCTATTTCTTCCTACTCCACGGGCCGATCTTCCAGCGAGCAGTTTCCATGTGTCAGGTCGAGGCGAGCTTGGCACACACACTAAACAGAGCCAGAGACTTGAAGCACTGATCAGTGTGTGGATGTGAGAAGAGTTTATCCAGACATTCGTTTATCCTGTAGGTGTGCCGTGTCAAGATGTCTGAGCTTGCGAGAGAAGCTTTTCTGCTTGACAGCGTCTGCTACTGCCGCGATGGTTGACAGGCGCATCGGCCTCAATGATCTTCCCGCTCCCCCGTAAAGTTTTAGTGTGGGAGGGTGGTCATCCAGATCCATGGAGGCTCCGGAGATGTCTGAAATGTAGCTCGGCCACATAGTCGGTCTCACAGCTGGGGAGTTGAAAAAGTAGACGCCATCGGTCTCGGTTACCTAGCACCTTTCTACCAGGGCGGGAATCAGTGGCCCTGCTCGCTGACAATAGGATCGCCACACCATGCCTGCGTCGATCTACCTTGAGCCAGCATCAAGCTTAAATCGTGCCGGCTGCAGATCGCGATGTGGCTTTTGCACAAACTGCCGGTAAGGAAAACGCTTGATCGTATGGATACACATGTACTAGGCGGAGGCTACTCAGCTATATGATCGACCATTAAGCCCCCCTGACCCTGACATATGCCGCACAGCAGCCCCTGTTAGTTTCGTACTGCGATACTTTAAAATGTTTCCAGGACCGCGGATAACGGGGCTGGGATTCGGACTTGGTACGGATACAGACCAATGCACACTTTACGTACTTGAACGTCGAACGTCTTGCTCTCATGTCCCCAGCGTGCCCGCGGGCAAGGACCCCAGCGTTGAAGACTGTGCACATCGGACTCAGCGACGTGAGTTGAAATCTGAAGCTTATATGCCTGTGCTACTGGTGGGAAACTACCTGCAAAACTCAAGAAAAAGAAGACCCTATCCGGCGCTGCGACAATACAAGGCATATCCCAGTCCCCCACCCCACATACCGGGCCCCTCGACGAAAGAGTTCCCGCGGCTATATTAAGTTTTCACCTGGTTCTTCCTGGGAAAAACTATACACAATGTCAGTGCTGGACGTCTGCCAGTTGCGTTGGCTGTCGGCCGATCGCAGGTCCGTTCCTCTGATCCGAATTCCGCCCACAGCAGCTACGGCTGAGGCGGCTCACTCTGTCCTCCACTCTCTGCGACTCGAGTTTCGAGAACACGCATCTGATACTCGAGTGAGCGGGCTTTGCCAAATTGGACAGACAGAAGATCCCACTACGGACGAAGTTGAGGATCAGTAAGAGATTCCGACGGGCCAGCCGACCAGTATGTTGTACTACGTTCCGCCATTTTTACGGCAATAATAAGTCATTTACTCTGGCATGAGCCTTCGAGTCAGCACGATTCCTATGCCGGTGTCTGAGTTGACGAAGCTCATTCTATTGTCTCGTCCCCGCCATCTCTCAAGTCAGCCAGCAAATAGCTAAATGCGCGTAGAGCATTGCCGCTTGATCCATGCAGAGAAACATCTGCTTTCAAATGTGTAGCAGGACTCTAGATTTTGGCATGTCGCCTCGAAAAGTTCCCAGCTTGACTGGTACAGTCAGTACACGGCCACCTGAATGTATCTTATGGCAATGGTGCCGCGTCTCTGAGGAAAACGGGGCTGCAATGCAATAGCGATCGTTGGAGCCAGATGATGAAGATAAGTACGCAAGCCCAATGCATCGCGCATCGCCTGCTAGGAGATTTGGTGATTCGATCAAAAGAGACTTTAGTAATATGTGCATTCTCGCCAATCACAGCATCAATCATCTCTTTCGCTCACGATCGATCCGCTCAGGAGAGCCCGTCTGCTATTATCCTCGTAGAGAGAGAGAGAAGTTCCGGCAATTGATGGAAGTGCGTTGGGATGAGAATCTGGTGGCCTGGCAGAACACCACCCTTAGAGGTGTTCCACCAGCTCGGATTCTCATCATAGACTCAGTTCGGCAATCACAGAGAGAGACACCGAGACCGAGGATCCTGTGCAGGCTGTCACGTCACGTCAGTTGAGGAAAGAAACCAGACACGCGGGTGAACGCGTCAGTTTGGTTCATCGGACGACGGCTCCAGCCTGCAAAATTGCAGTGACTAGGAAGGTGTTCCTAGGAGCGAAGGGAGCGCTCTTGCATCTGTCGGGTCTTGTACGAGAATGCCGAGAAAACGCCATGACATGTGAGCCGTATTTGGGGTAGCATGGGGAGTCCACAGAGCTTCTGTCTCCAAATCATCCGACGGTCTTCTTCGGGGTGATTATCTTCGTCAGATGGGCGAGTTTTCCCGTTTTGGGATTAGATAGAGCTCTAACTCCAGCTCTAACCTTCAACACTTCAGACTAAGCCCAGTATTTTTATGGTGTCATTTTGCCAGTCAAGTCCTATACAAATTACACGGATCCGTAAGATGACGGCGACTGGTAGGCCCGACCAGGAGGGAACAATAAGAGACGCAATTGGAACAGGGTCTTGTATTTCAATGATTTCTGGCCAAACCCTCCCAACGATCTTCATTTGAAGACTTCTCAGCCGAGAGCAGGTGCTCTGAGCTGCCAATATGGACTTTGTCTAAACCGGCAGGCTTCTAGAAGACGAGGACAAGAAAGGCGCCAGACCTGTTTGGGTACTTTCATGCGTCGAATGATAGGTGACTAGGTTTCAGAAACTCCAGTCGTCTTCGCATGGAGTTCCGGTTTCACTCCCTCAGTTGTAGCGACGCTTGGGCTAACCGTTTCGTCTGATGTTACTGCTGCGCATCTTTACAACAACAATTCGCACTCGCTCAAGCCGCCGACGGGGAGGCATGCCGACATGTGCTGACAGGTTCTATCCAAGGTTCAGCTGTCGGGTTTGACGGTTGGCCGAACAGACTTGTGCAATAGGCCACCCTTCCCCCCAAAAGCGGCTGACATCGATTGAAGAAGCATCGTTCTCCGTCTCCAATCATACTATCGTCCATCCTCTCCAATCCTGACTCGTAACGTCATCTTCTGAGCTAGATGCCTTTTAACTGGCGGCGCTGCTGAATGTCACCAAAGCAAGCGGGGCGAGTTTTAGAGTTGAAACATATCAACTCCCTTGTGCGGCTTCCTCCATCTTGGATCAACGGCTAGCAGTCTGTTCTCGAGGTTCATCAACAGCCGCCCTCGGCCGCGTCTGACACGAGCCCGGTTCTTCCTTTTATGTCTTAGGGAAGCACGTCCGCCCCTCTCATTCCTCCTCGAATTTCCTACTTTGATAGGGGGTTTCGCCCACATGACACAAACCCCGTCGAAACTTGAACCGTCAACTGGCCGTGGATCTCGCGCATAGCATACACTACCTATTCGAGGAAAGAAAAGCAGTACTACCGTACCATCAGCCTTTCTTGAATTCAAAGATGGTCAATACGGGTCACCCAAGCAGGGCATGCAAGCTCTGCCGCGCGAGGAGGATTAAGTGTGACGAAACGAAGCCCTTCTGCCTCAAATGCGCCAAGTCGAAAAGAACTTGCCCAGGATACCGGGACGCATTCGAGATCAACCTTCGCGATGAGACTCAATCAACCATCCGCAAGGCCAAGTCCGCTGCGTTGCGCAAGGCTATTCGAGAGGGTCGCGCGACGGAACAGGATGCGGAAAACGAATGCCAAACCCAACCACAAGTGATGGAATGGACACCGCCAGCAGCACCACCTCCACGAAAACAACAAATCATTCCAATCACAGAAGACGACTGGTTTGATAGATATTCAAATTCATCTTCTTCTGAAGCGTCGCCTTCAATGTCATACGCTTCTTCTTTGTCGTACATCAGCAATCAGGCGCCCGATACCTTTGTCTCATTCAAAGACATTGAAGGCGGGACTTATGGCATGCCGCACACATTGCAGACGCCTCTCGACCAACAAGCGACATGTTACTTTTTGGCAAACTACGTGCTTGCTCCACCAACGGGAGTAGGCAGAGGGATTCTCACATTTGTACTCCCCCTACTGAATATGCCCAGCTATCAAGCGTCTCCATTGCAGTCCGCTTTTTCAGCTGTATCAATGGCCGCTCTGGCTGGTAGGCCAAACTCACGACGGTTGTCTTCGATGGCTCACCTACACTATAGCAAGGCATTAGAGGACTTGACTCGAGCTATGCAAGACAAGATAGCTGTGAGGCAGGACACCACGCTTGCCTCTGCAATTCTCTTGGCTTTTTACGAAGGACTGGTTTCAGACGACGTTGAAATGTCTGGTTTCAAGAAGCATATATCTGGGGCGACTGCAATTGTCAAGCTACGTGGACCGCAACAGACTGCGTCTGGCGTTGGCTTGAGCATGTTTGAATTTGTTCGGGCAACATCGGTACGTCTTACTTTGACAAGCAATCGAAAGGCTGTATCAAAAACCGATCGTCTAACGCGTAAGACAGGTCCGGCAGTACACCTTCTTTGCGAATATTTCCTTGGAGGATTTGACTTGGTGGGCACGGCAGGCCGTCTGCGACACTGTTGGCCACCAAGCTTTGGTATTGAACCTCCAGACGACACTCATCCGTGGCGAGGCCGACAGCCTTCTGAAGGGGGCACGAACCACCGACAAAATCGACAAAGCTTTGAAGCTTTTGCAGAGGGCACGAAAAATGGACGATGATCTCGGTGTATGGTTCGACAAGTGCCCACCAGCGTGGAGGAAGGTTATTTCAGGATCGGCTGCGGAAGTTCCGGAGGACAAGATCGGCTACGTTTCGGCGTTTCCCGGAACTATTTACGATTACCCGAACGTATGGGCTGCCGGAAAGCATATTAACACCCACGTATCTCGACTTCTGCTCAACCAGGTCATTGTGCGTTGCATTGCATGGGTCTGCGCACCGAGTGACCATACTCTTACGAAAGAGTATATTGACGCGAATCGGATCGGAACTGAGCAAGTGGCCGACATTATCTCCAGCACTCCGTACTTTTTCGGGTGGACGGGTGATGCTTTGAGTACCCCCTACTTCCCATGCGGGACATCCGAGATGCCAAAAGGCCTAGCTGGTGTGTCTTGTATGTGGCCCTTGCTAGCTACTGGATCGAGCCGATTTGCGACCAGAAAGCAACGAATATACGTCAAGGCCCGTCTTGCAAAGATTGCGGAGGAGATGGGTATCCGTCAGGCCGATGTCTTCTCAAAGGTATGCTGCCCACTCAACTTTCCAACTCAACGATTAACACAGCTTCGTAGCAAATCATGTTGGGGTCGCCAGAGCCAGACCCAGTCAACAGTTATTGTCCGGACACATATCTTCATTTACGTACATAGTTTAGCGTTGACAATACCCCTCTCGCTTTGGATAGAAGAATCCTGTCAAAGATGAACAAACAGGCCGAACACCCCTATTGTGCCTGACAACATGCGTGCTGCTGGTGAATAAATAACGTATCAAAGCGACCACCGCGGCAGCAAATCCGAATCATCCCTGAAATTGAGGGACTGCATGCTGCTATATATGAACCTGTAACTTTCGTTTCGAAAGTCATCTTTGAGGTAGTCTGTTCGACCGCTCAGAAACCAGAGTAGTTGCTGATTCTGACTCCATTCCGGCCATTGCGCATAACCGCCCAATCCGACGTTAGGATCCAAGTTGTAAAGGAAGTTGAGATAGTAAGTCCGGGTGCTTTGTCGTGCAAAGGTAGGAAAGATTCCTAGAAAGACTTGCAGTATGTCGGAAGCGTGAAACGTACCAAGTACGGGAGTTCCGTGGTTGTAGCTGCTCAAATACGACCAAGCTGGGACTTCTGGGTGCTTTGCTTGAGCAACAGATAGAAACGAGCGGCGTGCTAGCGTGAAGACGAGATCCCCAAGAATGGCAGCCCTACGCTTGAAGCCAGGAACGATCTCGTTGAAGATCCCTGTACGAAAGGGACTCCCTGCAGAGATGTGGTGGTCATATGTATTGACGAGGGTGATCAACTGGGCTATCGAAGCGTTGTGAAAGTAGAGCTCTGAGAGGTAGTTGACGAGTTGCGACGCTGTCATCACCAGAGGCTGGAACAGTGCGAACAGTGTACCCTCGTCTTCTTGGTTGCCGATGATCATAGGCACTGCAGCGTATCGTCCTTCTTTTGCGGTAATATCGGGGCTGTCTATCAGTGCTGTGCCATCTGGTCTAGGAACATATGACAGAGCAAGAGCTTCGTATGAAAGGATGCCGGGCACCGCCGTTGCGGCACGCTTGTAAGTCTCGTAATCGACACTGCGCAGGCAATCCAAGGTACTCGCTGACCCTTGACAACCGGCTGCCTTAACAACAGCATCGTAGACTCTCTGGCCTTTGGGGCAGTCAACTGGGTCAGCTGGGATAACACTGCCAGAGTTCATGATGGCCCCTCGAAACAGTCGTCGACCCTGATAGGAGTTGTCACCATCATACAGCGCCATCTGGTCGAAAACAGATATCGCACCGGCTGATTCCCCCCAAATCGTCACCTTGTCAGGATCACCTCCGAAGGCAGCGATATTATCGGCAACCCATTCCAAAGCCTGACGTTGGTCTAGTAGTCCCAAGTTGGCTGAGCCATCCTTCAGGATTTCACGACCAGGCAAGAACCCGAAACCTCCCAGTCGATAATTCACAGCAACAAAGATGAAAGGACGGTCCATGTCGGCCCCGTCACGGACAAAGCTTGCCCCGCTGTATGTAGCTGTCGACCCGAACTCGAAGCCACCCCCAAATATCCAAAACAAGACTGGAAGCATCGCATCGGACGATGTGCCAGAAGGACGCTGGACAGTCACCGTCAAACAGTCTTCCTGGCCGGTAATAGGCTGAAAGAATGGGAGCATAAGAAACGAGCCAACAACATCAAGAAGAATGTTCCGGCTGTCGGTGGACAAGAGAAATTGAGGGCATGCGGCTGCGGTTCCTGTCGCGTCAAAGTTGCCTAAAGAGGAGTTGAGTCTTTGAGGCGGCCTTAAGCGGAGCGGTCCGGTGGGCGGTCTCGCATAGGGGATGCCAGAGAACGTATCGACGGAGCCAAATACTCGTCCCTTGAAGGTACCGGCCGGCGCATCGACTTCCGCCGGAGCAGCACGAGATTCATGGTGATGGTGCTCAGAGTTGCCAGCTGACTGACCAGCTAGGAAGAGAACGACAGCCAGAACTGGTGGGAGAGAAATCTTCATGGTGTTCTAGATGTCTGTAAGGGAGCGTAGAGAGAAGAATGGAGAGGGAAAGACAGAGGGGAAGCAATAGAGCGGGGGGAGGTGGTTGAAAGGAAATTTAGCCATGTAGAACAAGGTGAGCGATACTTATAGGTTAAGGCAAACTCAGGAGGATACCATCTCGGCCGAAGAAGAAAAGGAGTTTAATCTCTTTTCTTCAAGTCTCTCCTCATCTCATACACGCCAGACATGGTCTTGGAGATCGCTCGCACCAGGCGGTGCTTCCCGCTTCTTAATTCGGCCTTGACATATCGCCCCAAGTCAAGTGTGAGCGAAGACTCTTCTTGTCGCGGGTTTTCCTGGTTTACTAGCACGTGAAGGTGTCAAGGGTCTAATTACCCTGGACGAATGCAAAAGGTGTGTGGGAACTAACCGGTAGTGACAGGGGAAAAAAGTGTGTGTCGGCGGCCCGGAGGAGGTTGGCGATGACACACATTCCGAGGTTGCGAGCAGGTAAAGACTGTCCGACTGTGGTACCGAGTGAGGCAGTGATGCCGCTATTCAGGTGGATCGAGTGGGCGTTGCTACCTCCAGATCTGCGCGAGAACAAAAGAGTCGACGCGATGATACGCCTTTCGAAGCGCGGTCTTGGTTGCATTACCTAAATTCATCACGAGGGACCTTTTGTAGTGTATTGCTAACGTACCCTACTCTGGAAAGCCGTGGCGCTCTCTTCGTCAATATTTTGGATAACTTTATAATCGCCAGACAATATAACGTCGTGTATTCGAAAATTGATTTTATTGCAAAGCACTGATTGCAAACACTGGCTGAGTCGACTGGACTCTTAGCTTGTGTCGGGGAATCTAACGTAAGTCTTCCATCTGAATGCCTAAACAACCCATGCAACCGTTCGGACAAAGTCGCAACTGTGTCCCTTCTTGCTTGAATCTCTCGGAGGGAAAAAAAAAAAAACAAAAACCCTGTGCTTCTGACCGTTGCCGGGTTCAAAATGCGTCTCGTCTATCCGTGTCAAGAATCAGTCATGATTCTCTCAGCTGGTCCTACAACTCCATTTACTCGATGAACAGAACTAAATCCCTGGTTCCCATACCGTGGCCGCATCCGTAGCGACCTCGGAGAAATGCGATGAATGCTTCTCTCAAAAACGCCTCGTGGCTTCGTTATGCAATGATCAAGGGCAGTGAACTTCCATCAGACGACCATGCCCACCTGCCCGCTTTCCTCGTCAACTAAACATCTTCGTTTCCCACTGAGAGGCATACCGTCGGCTGGAGCCTCTTCTTCGAAGCTGCCATTAAACACTTCAACGAGGGCCTCGCGATCTCTTCGTCGCTTGAGCTTGTCGGGATTTGGCTCCGCTTCCTCCTCCCATGTCTCGATGTTGTCCTCATCAAACTCTCCCACGACGTCCTTGCCAAGCGCCTTGCCCAATCTCTCCTTGAGTCCGAGGATCGGCCAGACGGGCACTCTTGTGTACTCGATGCGCATGCCACCCTCGGATGCAACCTCTCCGATTCTCTCAGCAAGTGTATTTTCGGTCCCTTTACGGGGGTTCTTGGTTGGCTCGTGGAACTTGCGAAGCAGATCTGCCGTGACCGTGGCCTTGTAAACGATGAACTCGGATGTCTCATTGTCATTTGTGAGTAGCTGTACCGCCACATCGTAAAATTCAGGCTCTCCTAGTCCGATGGGCATGGGCCGTGAGGGAACCCACTTATTCGCTGACGGCCGTGGTTCGCCGTGAAACCTTCTCTGCGCCATAGCCAACATGATGCCCACAAGCAACGGGTCGTGCGTCGGGTTGCTGGGAACAAACATCTTGGAGCGCAACTGTTGTAGACGTTCGACCGGCCCGTTGTACGATCTGTTAGGTCCTTGAATCACGCGGTACATGTTCTTTCGTGTCGCCGCGATCTGCATCTTGCCAACGTAAGCAAGGACGGGCAGCGACTGAGCGTAAGCAGTATGTTCGCCGCTCAGGTTGCTTGCGCTACCATTAGAACCCGTCGGCACAACAGTGAAGGATTCAGCTGGTCGCGTTGACGCGGATTCAAACGAGGCGATCGAGCCGCTGCGCGAGGGCATCGCATCCCAAGCAACCTGTACGCGACAGGCATCGCGATACACTAGACCGCCGAAATAGAGGTGCAAATCAAGCTGTGTTCGGGTGCGCGACAGCTTCCCCGGGTAGAGGGTGGACATGATTGTGCGGACGGAATTTGTATAGAAGGTTCTTGTGGAGCCGGGCGCGAGCATGGCCGTAAGTTCTCTGCTAAGTGTCGAGGCCGCAACCGAGGGCTTCATGTGACATTTCGACGGAGAGACCGGGGCGCCGCGTGGTGAAGGAGGAGGGACTGGCGTGTCGCATGGAGGAAGCTCAACGAACTTGGCATCGAGGAGTTGAACATGCAGCTCGGTCCAGCAGATGGGACGAACGAAGAGGGAGAGTCCAGCATGATCCCACATCTGGTCGTAGAGAGACCCTTCGTCTGGCCTGAAGACACGAACTCTTCTTTTGCGTTTGGCGGGGGAGGGCATGGCAGGAATAGGACTCGAGGTCGGGGGCGTTGCGTGAATGGGCTCGGGCGAGGACATTGACGAGGCTGTCGGGGCGCTGCTGGAGAGATGCATATTGGCGGGGGAGGAGTCGAAGAAGTTGCGCAGTTGTCGTGCGAAACTGGTGCTATTGAATACCGATCTGTGGTTTTGTCAACATGATTCGGATCTAGGTGAAGAGGAATGCAGGTAGGATGTATTATTGGGTGAAAGGGCACGAGTTGGATGGAAGGAAAACAACGAGGTCATGGCAATAAAGGAATAGTGATTGGGGGGGTCTCACTCTAAAATGAGCATCGGGTTGTGGCGCTCTCCCTTTGGTTCTTCCTACATAGGTAGTATGGGTTTTCAGGGGGGGCCTTTGCGTTGCGCCGTGGGCCTGGTGTCCAGTTGAACCTTGGGCTTGGAGCCTTGGGGCACTGACGCGCGACGGGGGGATGATGGTAGTACTCCGTATGGCCCCTTCTCTTGCTTTTGGGGGTGTGGAATGGTGAGGATGATGGCCGGTGGATGTTTATGACGGACTCGGTGAGGCGGACAGCAGTCGGCGCAACTGGGTGCGCGACGCGGTGTTGAGTAAGATAAAAGAGGATCCGGATCCGCAGAGAGATCGGAGAATATCCGTATGCAGTTTGATGTACGGTCAGAGAAGTGGTGCTCTGTGACTGGGTACCGATTTGTCTAGAATCTGTTGAGATCGACGGTGCTTGCAAGGGGTTTGAGGCTTAACCGTCGCTGTCGGCTCACGAGGCAGAGGAAAAAGAAAGGGTATGGGAGGGATGACGGGATGTTTGGTTACTGGTGTATTCCCATCCGAGACTGAGGAGACGGTCCTCCGCAGAGAAAACGGGACTTATTGGTGCTGAATATGACGCGCTCGGTGGGGAGAGAGAAACGAGACTTGGAGAGAAGAACCGAAGAGAGAGAGAGCAACATGAACAAGGGGAAGAGAAGGGAGGGGCAATGAAACGCGGGTGCGCGAGTCAAATATTCCAACTTTTTTGTTCGTTGATTTTCTTGATTGTTGCGCTGTCACTTTTGTGTGTGTCCCAGTGCAGCCGGACGGTAAGGTAGGTAGACCCGACAGAATCCAGTGTGGTCACCGTGGCGTGGCGGCAAAAACTGGGCAGGTGCAGAGTTAGGTATTGACCCGTCACGACTGTCCGTTTTGTCAGTGCCTTCCTAATTCCCGTCCCCATCGCGATGGTGCCTGCCTGTGCCTGCGGCCTGCCTGCTCAATGTCCACCCGCGACTCCAACTTCTCCTTCCTCTTCCACCGCCAACCTGCAACCCTCGGCCACTAAAGGGCCAGAACACGCGCGCCTGATCGGCTTCACACCTATTTGGGGGAAGGAAGGGCGCGACTTGCCACTGCCTGGTGCTCTTGGCCCGCATGCAACCGGGAGACTGTGACACGCGGAGAGTGCGAAGTCATGTGATCTTAGGCACCAGCCCCCTCCAGCAATACGTACCGGGCATGAGCCATGTCATCGATTTTGTGGCTGCGCATAGCTCCGGAAATGCCTGAGTCATCACGGAAGCATTGATCTATACACGTGACTTATATCCACCTGACGCTCCATGTCTTTCTAGATCCATGGCACGTGAATGGAGATACTGCAGGCAAGTGCTGCGCCACAAATCTTGGACCCCACCCTTGAGTCTGAGGCTGGAGCACACCCCGTAGATGCCGTCAAGCCTCAGAAGCCACAAGGTCCATTCGGAGCAGTGTGAGGTGGACGTCAGTCGCTCCCCGTCAGCTAAGTGTCGCGCCCCACCATCGGCCGCTTGCTCTCCATCTCCAGTGCAGTTGACGTCTCCCAACTGCATTTGCGACCAATCCTCATCAAGACCAGCTTAACATTCTACGACACCGAGCGCTCGGTCAGGCGTATTCTTCAAGATGCCGGTATGTCTGTGTGATGCTCATCCCAGAGGTAGCTCGCCTGAGCTCTCTCTGTCTCTGAGGCTCTAGCCCGTACACTTCAACCTACTCCCCCAACCCGCCTAAACCGAGCTGACGATGACCTTTACCCAGGCCTACAATTCCATGTTCAATGCCGACCCGAACGTCCCTCGCACAATAGGCAACTTCCCGCTGCTGCCCTTGCGCACAAAGACCCGCGGCCCGGCCTATACTCTTCCCTTCCCCAACCCGCCTCTGCCCGCCAATGAGTCTCCCGACCCAGACAGCGAAAGCTACGACATCCTCGACGAGGTTCTCGCCCTATTCCGCGCCAACACCTTCTTCCGCAACTTTGAGCTTCAGGGCCCCGCCGACCGCCTTCTGGTTTACGGCATCTGGTTCGTCAGCGACTGTCTGACCAAGATCAAGCCTAGCGCCGGCGTGCGTGATGCTTCCAAGGATGTCATGAACGTGGCCCTCGATACCAACTTCGCCATTCCCGGCGACCCGGCATGGCCCCTGAACCAGGTACGGCAGCCTTCCGAGGCCCAGTGGCATTTCTTGACATTGACAATTGATGTAGATGTACGAGCCCCCGCGCGATAGACAGGACGCCGAGCAACTCCGCCAGTATATGTCCCAGGTCCGCCAAGAGTTGGCAGTCCGGTTACTGGCACGTGTGTACGAAGAAGGCGGCGATGGAAAACCGAGCAAATGGTGGCTGAGCTTCACCAAGAGAAAGTTCATGGGCAAGGCGTTGTGATGACGGTCGTCGAAGTAGAATCGCCAGAGACAAGCAAATACCTTGGTTGGGGAAAATGTTGAAGCGCATAAGACAGGACAATATGATGATGCCAATTACTCCAATTACAGCTTGATGGGCTTTGATAGGAGGATGCTAGGGTATCTATATGCAAGCCTTTCTCTTTCGTCTTTCCTCTCGACCACCGCCCAATGGTGCGTCAACGTCTCCTCAGTATCCGGACTTGCTCGTTTTGTTCATGCTTCCACCTTTCTCCTCTTGAACTTGCCTCTTGCCTCGACCTTACCCTCTGCCGGAACTGCCTTCCAACCCGTAAAAACGTAACCATCCGCCCCGCCGCGCCCCATCATCATGGGGTGTGTGCGACCGGGCAGAACTTGCCACCGCTTCGCGCGGCTCGTCTGGACATTGGCGCCCAAAAGCAGAGTCGGGTTGATGGGGAAATCGTCTGAACCCTCCCATCGCTCCAACTCCTGGACAGACTTCCCAGCTGCCTCGGCCGGAGGATTTGACGACCAGCCTGCGCGGCGGGCAATGCTGAAGCAATCGGCCAGTTCCGTCAACGGCTCGATGCTTTGCGAGTAGACGGCAATCGGCGCTCCACCGGCCAGGAGTGGCAAGGTGTGACGGAGGATGGACACCGTGTCCATCGTGCTGGCGATGACGAGACCGGAAAACCCACCAGCGCGCGTCGAGTCCACAATGTAGCGGGTTCTCGCCCAACGTCTTCGCTTCCGGTGGTAGTTACCACGCCGGTTAGCCTTCCATGAGTGCAGCTCCTCGTCCGAGACCTCGGGGGGCGGTGTTGAATATGTGACATCCTCCTCGGGCTCCAAAAGCTGCAGCCATGAAATGGGCAATAGGTTGGTAGCGAGGGGATGAAGCGGGTAAGGCGGGTTTGGATTTGTGCTGTCAAAGTTGTAGTATTTGAGGAGGGCGAGGTTTGGCTGGCTGTTGGGGTGGATGAGCGTCAAGGTGTTGGTAGGGGCAAACATGGCTTCAAAGTCGTCGCGACGGGGCGGGTGTCTTCGTCGGGGTTGCTGCGGCTTTGTCGTCTCGCCATCATTTGTCATTGTGGCATCAGCTGTGGCCTCCTCGGGCATTGTTGTTGTTGTTGGGTCTTGTACTGCAGTCTCTGTGCTTGTCTCCTGTGTCTGTTCTGTCGCGGCGACGTCAATGGTGACGGTGGTGTTCTCTGCTGGCTTGACTCCATTGGCTTCTTCCTTGCCAACATCTGTAGCATCCTCCACTTCTTGGACCTCTTCGGGGTCCTTGGGGTATAGTATGCCCATCCTCTCGGCCATGGCGGCGGTAACGAGACCTCCTGTGTCCTCCACCACAAGCCACCGACCTCCAATCTCGGATTTGTCCAACATGCCAGACCCATCAATCGTCACGGTCTCGGGCTTGTCCGTGAGAGATACGCCGCCGAAGTGGACGTTGGCCCAGGAGTTCAAGAGCCCCATCATCTCCTCCCGCATCTCCAGCACCTTTCCCGCATCCTTCTCTTCCAAGAGCCACTTGCCTAGCGTCAGAGGGTCAAGTGGTTGTATCATGAACCGTCGAATATACTTCTTGGTCTTGAGCAACTTGTACTTGGCGAGAGAGAAGGCCGTCTTCTGGTCAATGGCGGTATGCGACAGCAGTAGCTTCGCGATGATCTCCTTGCCGGCGTCTGTGTTGCCCTGCTTTAGCTGCTCAATCTCCTCGGCGGTCAAGGTCTGGCGGGCGGCGTCGTCGATAATCTCACGTCGCGAGTGGGCAACTACGTTGCCGCTTTCCTGATCGACCAGTTCAAACTCTGCGCCATCGGGGGCGGCAATGACATTCTCAAGAGTGGTGCCCTCCTCCTCGGCGTTCTGGGCGTTCAAGTCGGCCAGGGCGTCGGCGTGAATCTCGCTCGTAGAGACGACTCGCAGTCTGTTAAAGTTCTCGCCATCCCGTCTATCTTGGATCTCGTAGGTGATGTGAAATGGGCGCTCAATGATGAGGTTGCTAGGGAACGAGCCGAGTTTACCCAGTGAAATCGTGCTGGGAGCAGAAAAGAAAGGAAGTTAGCTGTCGTCATACCAAATGTCTACTTGATGAACCTACGTATTGGGTACAATCTGCAGCACCTTCGTATCTTCTGAAAGCAACTTCAGAGACACCCATTGGTGCGGTTGGACAACGTGGTGCATGGTTGCGACTGGATAGGCTTTACCGGGCTAAAGGTTTCGTCCAAGCGAAGCTGTCGCGAGAAAAAAAAAATGTTTATGAGCGAAGCGTCAATTAGCGGCCTTATCGTTATCGGGAAACTCGGTCGCCACCAATCGACGGCTTGGTGCCAGCTTCCATGGAAGGGACTAAGAATAACAGGCCGTCCAGGTACCCCGCGCGGGGCACTTGATCAACTAGTCGCCGGAACATCAGAAGTTCAGAACGAAGACCCTGTAAATTCAGCGTACCTTAGTGATACCTGACTGCGTGGAGAACTTGATCAACCCAGCTCAAGTTATCAAATCCGACATTCTATCTTGCAATCAAGCGAGCCAATCTCTCATCAAAGCCTTCCGTGTTTATTCAAAATAGCAAAAGTAACGCATTTCTCAATACTGCTCAGTCTGACCAATTTGTCTGGTGCGCGCTGGGGCCTAACTTCTTTTCAGCACTTGTCAGAGGTCATCCCCCTCTCGGCGTGGAATGTTGCCTGTACCAAGCATTTTGTTGGCCCGTTCTTTCATCCCGACTAGCCTTAAGATACCTGCTGTGGCATGGAGAAGGAGAGTTAGGGAACCGAATAGCAAGAGGGGTAGAAGGGTGTAAGTCGTAAAGACTGAGAACGAGTATTGATTAGCAGGGGCTTGAAAGCATCACCACACGAAGCCTGAGATACCAACTTACAAACACCGCCCCCTGTTTGCTTGACAACATCAAACAGTTCGCCGCGCATGATGGGCAGCGCGCCCTTTGTCCATCTCCATGGACCAATAAGACGAAATTTGGTGTTAAAGTTTGATCCCATTGCCCATGTGAAAAGTGCTTTGAATCCTTGACGCTTCATAAAAGAAAAGGTCGGCGCGCTGCCCATGTCGAGAGCAAGCTGATATGCGTAGGATTCCTGTTCAACACCGTGCTTGCTCTTGAACAAGTCATGTCCGCCTCGAGCCTTGAGAGCGTAGTCGATCTCATAGTGGGGAATAGCATCATCATTGGACATTCCTTGGCTGGCATCAGGAGCATGCAGCGCCATCTGTTGAGGGTACTTGTGCCGGAGGAGGTTAAGAACCCATAGTTGCGCCTGTAGTTCGGCGAGAGGCGGGATAGCTCCTGAATAGATGGTGTTAGCACGGCAGACTTACACCCACAACAACCAACAGGGGCCCTACCAATGCCAGGCCGTACGAAGCCAATAAAACCAGCAGTCACCTCTCCGCGCCTCCAGATCCCGCGGACATCCAGCTCACTGGGTTCCGGGTAACCGTCGTCCAGGAAATCGAACCGACGCACATATCCAGTTGCGGCGACCACCAAGTCGGGCTTGATGACTCGAGATAGCGCCTCAACGTGCTCACGCTTCTTGCTGTCCGGAAACACGACAGTCCCATCGTCCCGGAAAGCCAATGGCCAAGGTGCCGTCAATATCTTTCTGCCACTTGTGTTTTTCAACTCAATATTCATCACAAAAGCTCTGATGCGAGAGAAAATGTCTCGCGGCCGATTTCCCTCATTGAGATATGGCAGCGCGCGGTCGGACTTGACCAGAAACACTTTGCAAGTCAGCCATGCACTCATTTGAACTATTCGTATTCATTCATAAGGGCGAAGAATATCTCCTCTCGGGAGAACACTCACGTGAGTCAACGTTATTGCGTTCACCCTCAATCTCTCCGACCCACTGATCCGGGCCAGCCGCCGTCCCGCCAGAGAGGTAATGAAGAGCCTTGAACGTCTTGTCGTACACGCTCCAGAGCAGATTGGAGTGTTGAAGACGCTCTGGAAGATATGCAGTGTCGAGGAAACTTGCGATTGCTGTGTCGACTGGCTTCTGGTGAGGATCCGGCTTCCAAACCTGCATGACGACTGGTAAAGGAACAACCTGTGATAATCAGCGTTGATCTATGCTAGACCAATCAAATCGCATTATCAAAGTAGAAGACAAGTTAGGTACCTTCTTTGCGCAAAAGAAACCACCTTTGTGACACATCACCACTTCCCTGGCTTCTGAAGTTACGGCCAGGTGGGCTAGGTCCATTGCCGTTTCTCCGACTCCTAGGATCATCACAGACGTATTCAACCCAAATCGCGTTCTTTCCTTCACTTCGGAAGAGTGGAGATGCTTCACGTTCTCCAGACCTTCGATGTATGAGATGGACGGAACGTTGTTGAGACCGGAGCACACGGCGATGGCATCACAGTCCCATGACTCCTCTCCATCTTGGCTCTCTGCAACTTCCAAACCTGGAGAGCGGCGAAAAAAGACGCGGTGGCCATTGGCTGTATGAGAAACTCGAAAAATCTCCGTGTTCGTCTCTATAATGCCCCAAAGATCAAATTGGGTACAGAAGCCCTCGAGGTAGCGAACGTAATCCTCTACCGGCAGAAAGTCAGGTAGGTCTTTTGGCACACGAAAGTCCGAGAACGCCGTGAGATACTTGGATGACACCATCTAGAAGGTTTTACATCCATTGTCAGCTGTCTGGCATACTTTGTGAATGGTTTAGATGATTATGCGAAGTGAGGCTCCCATATTGAATGATGTACGGTGGTAAGGAGGGTTGATGGGCCAATACCTCGGCTTCTTCGTAGACCTTATACTTGTAAACACCACCCACTCCGTCTTCCCTCTCAAAGATCCGGACCTCGATATCAAGTATGCCGAAGTACTGTCTAGCCTGACGAAGGTACTTAGCTGTGACCAAACCAGAAGCACCTGCGCCGATGACAGCAACTCGAATGGGCTTCATCATCGATCCCGCCGCTCTCTCTATGATGGCAGTTTGGCTCATATTGCAGACCGCAATTTCTCGTCGTCTTTGAACTGAGTGTCGCAACAGCTCCGAACTGTGAATGACGTTCAAGGTGTCGGAAGTTTGTCGTTGGAATGAAGTCTGGCCTGTCAGACTTTACCTAAGTATCATAGTAGTCGATGACTTCGAGATCAAGGAAATTTGAAACAAGAGTTCTGTTTCGATGTAAAGAGACAAGACAGTGCACTCGGACCTATTGCGTTTTGTATGCAGTCTTTGCTATTTCAGCCAGACTACGGCCAATGGCTAACGAATCTCACTTGGCCTTGACGCGAAGGTAAAGGGGAATGTAGAAGCTACAAGGGACTGATGAGAGTCGATTTCCGGAAAATTCGGACTTTGATTGAGTAGGTATTGAATGTGTATTTGCTGGAAGTTTCAACAAGATTGACTCAAAAGCAGCAAGCCATGAACTTAGGGAGGGAAACTCAGGCGACCAGGTTAGGTTCTGGGAGCTAAACACAAGCGAATCTGCAAATCGCAATCCAGACACGAGGTTGTAGGGAACATAAGATTTTAGTTCAAATCCTACGACAGCATGAGCACAAGCGACCGACTGTCAGCAACGCAAGGTCGTTCTGCGGTTTCTAATTAGTGACCTCACCTGAAAGCTGCATGCTTACAGTCAAGACATCAGGCTTGTCTGCCACTGGGACCCTTACTCTTTCGGGAATCAGAAGATCCCGTTCACCCTCACAACTCGCGCTGACGCTCACACCATCTCAAGGCAGTTGCCCAATCGAAGGTGACGTTCGGCCGGAGCTGAGTTGGGGGCGAAGTGCCAATGTGGCTCAGCCGGGCCCCGAAGAATGTTGGACTCTTCGGTGAGTTGGAAATATGAGATGATTGGATGGTCATAGTAACCCAAATGTGGGAACACCATGGTGGTAAGGCTGAATTACAGAGGCAGATGATATGATACCTGTGTCAGATCGATCCGGGCAGCCGATTTCATGCAAGGGAAGTCCAAATTGTCTTGCAAGCCCGGCGCTTACGCTCGAACTATTGATTTGAGCAGCAAAGCAGGGACTTTCGTCAATTCACGAAGCGGGGCGTTCGGAAGTCTCCAGCAACTACTAAGGTAAGTAGACTCGACTTTGGACCGACTGCGTGCTAAATCGTATCAGGAGGTGTGCCGGGTCACAAGGATCTTGTGTAATAGATTAAATAATTCCGATGTCGCCTACCAGGCATCCGCTACCATGGTGCTTCTGAGATACATTAAACCTGAGAGCAAAGACCCGAACTGGCTTTAAAGCGATTCTCCATTAGTGAGATGATCTCGATCTTTGCCAAGCCTCTCGATTTCTTCTCTTGGCCATCGCAAATACTGTCTATACTGAGGCCCTAAAATGAGTGCGATGCCATGAAGAATGTGGCTTGCCCACCCCTTTATGTACCACATCCATTCGAGCGACTTGAGCAACACAACAAAGTGTGCCAGGATGAGAAGTGCAAAGGGCCTCTTATGTTTTAGACAAAGCACGAAATCATCATCGATACCATAGATGCAACCGATAATGACCTCCATCTTGCCGTTACAATCAAGCCTTGGCCTTGCAGTTGTACCAAAAGTTGTCTCAAAGCAAGACGAAACCCGTTGAGTCATTTCCAAGTATACGGGGGTTTCTGGATCGCCAGAGCATGTAATCAAGTCTGTAAGACTGCTCAAGGCAGGCCCCCATTGGACTAGTCGTCTCGTGGGACCTGGCTCTGGGAGTGACTTCTCGTCATCGGCAGCCGAGAGAGGACCCAGAACTCCAGAGTAGATGGCATCCCATCCCATTGTTGTAACAACAATTCGAACACCCCTAAGTAATTCGAACCATGCCACTTCTTCTCCGTCTGAGACTATCAAGAGATGTTCTGGGCTAGGCTTCTTTGCGAATGCATACGCACAGACAAGCGTGGTAGATATGTAAAGTGCTCCAGCATAGTCTTTATTAGATGTTGGCATGATGGCCATCACTTGGCGTAGGCCTATGGTGTAGTGAACATCTGCGAGCTGCTCATATTTAGATGACTCGGTAGAGTCCTCTTTCTCTTTGGATAAGTGTAGTGCGGAGATTGCGAGAAGCAGATGCAGGACGTAATGGTGCGTGAAGGCAAGACGGGGGACTCTCTCCCGCCAAAATCGCGAATTTGAGTATGTAAGATCGTCAGACGTTAAG